GCTCTTCCAAGATATTACGTCGTGTGTGTGTGTGTGTGTGTGTGTGTGTGTGTGTGTGTGTGTGTGTGTGTGTGTGTGTGTGTGTGTGTGTGTGTGTGTGTGTGTGTGCACTGATGTTTCCTAGGAAGCTAATAAAAATATTATGAAGTCAGCCCCCAAAAAAGCCAGTACAGCATACTTTCAAAATGCCATATAATATATAATACTGAAATCTATTATTTTACATTTTCCGTTTCAGAACTCACAAAGATATATCTGGAGCAAATTCAAGGAGATCTTTCAGACCTTGGAAGAGAAAACTACTCTAACTTACAGGTTGTATCTCAGGTCCAGAAAATTGTAGATCAATTGACTATAACAAGTCATGACATAACCATCTATACGAGGAAGAATATGCTTGGAACACACGAGATCTACAGATTGCTACCTCGAAATTAAAAAGTTCTATTTGCTTGTTATCTAGTTTAGAGAATTTTGACGTTGAAGATTTTGAGTTTCACAACAAGTCCAGCTTTTTCGAATGCAGTTCTAGATATATCTTGATAACGACTCCGACTAGTCTTACGATTTTGATAAAGCAGATAAAATATTTGGTATCTGACCTCATGGTCTTAGTAACACGAAATGGCCAAAAATGTCAGAAAGAACTTTGTCATTCTAAGGTAGCGAGATGTCTGGAAATAAGGGTGTGAAAGAACTTTAGTAATTAACCCTTGCAAGTACCAGTTTGAGTATTTCATTATTACCTGTACCGGTACTAAGAGTCGAGTCAAAAACACTGGACTTGCACATATCTATATATGGAAACAATAAGAAAACAATGAATGCGGTGACTTCCAACTTACATGCTCTACAGTCAAGAGAACACTTGCCCCAAGCTGTCGATAGTCGATGCCGTCTGCGGGCGTCATGGATTTGGCAGTGAGGAAATCCAGCTCTGCTCTGTCATGTCTGAAAGGTCAAAGGTCGAGAGTTACATGGACATTCTAATGTCCTATATCCCTCTGAGAGGGAAGGCTCGTGAGAATACACTACAGATCCCTTGCTCTTCTTAATAAGGCTCAATGAAGACAAATTTGCACATAAGTCTTTTGAAGTGCAACAAGAAATTGAACCTGAAACCGTAAAATTTAAATCAAAAGGCTTAATTACTACCGTCAGGAGAAAATGGAAAGTGATGTGCACTTTCAGACCTAGGATTTGAGACTTATATACAGATGTGCAAGAATATTCAGAGAAGCAGAATACAAACAACTAATTAAAAAAGTATAATAAAAAAATATATATAAAGATATAAATATCAAATCAAAAGGTACTCTCTCCATAACATTTTTAAAAATCAGCCTATATCAAGGGAGATACACAATGTTGACAAATTTGGCTGAAATTTCCCATGAGTTATGCCCCTCATGTTATGCCAACATGCTTGCTGTGTTCATAGTTGTTTGAACAGCGTTTTGCAGACATTTAGGTTTTTGACACTGACTTTTTATCCACCTCTGCTGGGATCAGATGTCTACTTCAATCATGAAGCCTTTCCGTTTCTTTTACTCTACCATGGTTCTATTATAACTTCACCTAGACCTAACTTTGCAGCATGCTGTATCTGTTGTGTAGTGTGTAATCTCTGCCGAAGAGGAAGTGCACTGGCTGCTGACATATGGCGATAATACTGGATATGTGCTTTCACGCAACCTCAGACTCCCCACACACAACTGAAATGTGCAGGCTAAATCTATCACTGAATACTTCTTTGACATATGAAGAGCACACAGGAAAAATGGCCATAGTCACAAACAGAAAACTGTGAGGGTGTCAATTTTAAAAGCCGGTGGACTCATAACTGCATTTAATTGTTTGATTGGTGGTTTATTGTTATGTTTGTTGAATGGGAAATCTAACATTGATAATGAACCAACTGTTAAACAGAAATACAGTTATGAGTCCAAACGCATTCAAAATTGATACCCTCACTATTTCCAGCTTGTGACTTCCCATTTTTTCCATTGACTCTTCATATGCAATTAACACATCCTTCGGCAACACTTTTGCCCTTGACTATACAAAGAGGTCTTTGGCTTTCACTCATTCTTTGCCCTCTCCCTCCCTCTCTTCCCACATAGCTAGATTAACTTCATTAAACTAAATTTGCGGTTGTGTTGAATTGCTGATGCCGATATTTTTCCTCTACCGTGAAATGTTTGCTCTCTGTGTATATTTTGAATACAAAATTAATAAGAAAGAAAATGTAACCTGAATGAAAATCTGTTTGCTCTGTGCTTTATTTGCTATGCGCTTGTTTGCTATACTATAGTTTTAATTTTAATTGTGATAATACGCTGCCAATTAAAGTGAGGGGCAAAATGTGTGGACAACTTAGGTCATCATGTAGAAATAAAGAGATATACAATACCAATACAGTCAAGAACAGATGCAAACACGCAAAACTCCAGTTTACGGATAGCTCAAACAATGTGTCATTCCTAGACTGAATTTCTACATTTTCTTTGTTTAAGCAGCAAGATATTCTCAAACACCGCACATGTGAGTCAAACGGCTCATCCCAAAAAGCCGGATAATTTTTTTCTCACAATTGTCCCGAGTTCAAATAATCCTGCGCGCACGATGGAAAACAGTCACACTCATCATCATGATGAGTACTATGAATAAGGTTACATGAGTCCATTATGCTCATCCCTGCACAGCATGATAAACACACTGTATTACTATGCATAAGGTGCTGGTAGAACTTCCTTAAATCTAGTCATGTGAGGGTGGGTGGTGGGTGATACTGTGTGATCGAGGACAGTGTAGTGATGCATTGAGCCATACGTGGTGTGTGAATCATGTTTGTGTGTGAGTGTGTGTGTGTGTGTGTGTGTGTGTGTGTGTGTGTGTGTGTGTGTGTGTGTGTGTGTGCGCGCGTGTGTGTGTGCATGTGTGTGTGTGTTTGTGTGTGTGTGTGAGTGTGTGTGTGTGTGTGGCTGTTTGAATGTGAAGGTATGGATAAGGAAGTGATTACACACAAAGGAAGGGTCACAAAGGAAGAGTGGCAGGTTCTGACCATTGTTGGTTACATCATCATTATCAGGATCTGACACAAGAGCAATTATTATTTATCGTTATAAAAGGCCCATTCACATCAGTCTCTTCTTTTCTTTGGCTTCAACATCGAACAAGGCGCACAATCCATCCTTCTATCCGTATCAATACAAAAAAACGTACGAATTGCAAAATTCAAGATTTTAAATCCAGTAGCCTAACCTCATACAAGATACTTTTCACAATGGCAGTGATATATTTCCCGATCGTTATACCGTCACCGTTACTTCTCTTGATTTTCTTCAATATCTCTCTTGTTTTTCGTTATCATGGTTTACTTAAATATGGATGTGTTGAACACATAACTGTCAACCTCAAATGTGTTTGAGATATCCATGCTCAACTGTTTATATATATATAAAATAACCATATAAACAAACCTCTGTAGCTGTAAGTAGGAAACAGCCCTTTGGTAATAAGCAGCAGCAAGATATTTGTCTTTGTCCACAGCCGTAGAAAATAACTGAAAATACAGTACGAGAATATCTGTCCAACTGCATTTCAGTAGGCTTACTTTTGGAAAGTATGGCATGGGTTTAATGCCCTTTTATAAACATGATAAAGCTGTCTGAAAGGAAGGACTTCCCAATTCAAATTCCATCTTCAATTAGACTGAGCCAGTGGTTGGAGTTGGAGAGCCTTGAAAACTCCCTGACTAATTGCAGTTCAAGAATTCCCTCTGGAAAACTGAACAAAGCTCATCTGTACAGCAGAACAGCATAATGCTCACTGAGCTATCAGACTACCGTACCAAATTTAAAAAAGTGTCTGCAACATATGTGCAGCAAAAATGACTATGCATCCCTCTCCAACATTTACTTCTCCAGAGTCCCCTTTGATATTATCATTGACCCCTTTGATGTTATCATTTAAGCAAAAATAAATACTTTCATATGTTTGTACTCTGGCTACATCATAGAACCACGAACAGTCCAAACTATAATCACAATTTGGAATACGGGCCTTTGGAATAACACCCAGCACTTCCATATCAGAAAACAATTGTAATTTTAACAAACTGTAAAGACCTTGGAGTAATAACAATGAGTAGTAGAGACAAAATCAGTCCACAGCTTTCTTAAACCCTATGATTGTAAACACATTCTTCAACTACAGCTATTCTCAAGACTTCAATTAAACATTAACAGCGTAAAAAATTGAATCAATGAATCAGTTACAAATGTTTTGCTCTAGGCTATTTAAAGACTTAATGTCATACACATTTATATATTATGGCAAGGAAAGAAATGTTTTTTTGCTTTTAGAGACAACTCTGCTTGTGTTGAACTCGCTTGAGTTGATTTTCGGATAAGTTGATCTTTTACTTGGGTCCCAGTACCTCTTCTTCTTTACAGGTCCCAACGATTAAGTTGAACTTCGGATGAGTTGATCTTTTTTTCCCCTCTCCCGATGACATCAACTCGTCCATAGTCGACTGTGGTTGTTTTATTTTTAAAACAACAACAACAAAACACAGAACAACTGAACACATCAAAAACTATAAATCATGCCATTACAAACCCTCTCCTCTTATTGAGGAAAAAAGGTTCTAACTTCAGGTGCACCTAAAAACAATGTGTCACATAAAAGATTCTCTTTTTTATAGTAAAAAGGAATACGCACTCCATACATAAACATCCTAAGCAGAAGTTCAAGGCAAAGGGAGTTGAACGGTAACTTTAGACAAACAATTCAAATATTTTGAAACTACAATTGAACCCCCCCTTTACTTGGTAAGACGCCAGTCTGTAGCGAGCTATCATACTCGCCCCCCCCCCCCCCCCCCCCCCCAAACTTACTTTAATTGCCTCTTCATTCCGGCCTTCAGACAAGTGCAAACATCCGATATTGTGGAGTACTTTGGCAGACGCATTGTTGACCTCTAGGAGCTTGCGGATAGCAGCCGTTACTTGACCAGCCTGGAAGAGACACATGGCTGCATGCCACTTGCCGACAGTGTCTCTCAGCGCCATCACAGCAAACAAGATGTTGCTTTCAGATGAATGGAAGTTTTGTGTCACTGCTGAGATACATTGTCATCATTCTTGACCTGAGCCTCAAGACCTACAAAAAAAATTAACAAGCAAATAAAAATAGTTCAAAATGAAATTGAATTATGTTAAACAGCTGCCAAATAAGGGGACCCCCCCCCCCCAAAACATTGCAAATCAATGGTTAAAAAGAAATTTCAATCTTAATATAATAATGTGTAACAGCAAACCATGAAATCATAGGAAAAAACGGTGGGGGGAATTCCCATAGATCTTTTTTTAACTTGGGGAAAAAAGGGGCGGGGGGAAAGGGGGACACCTCCCTGACGAAGTGGGAAAAGAGAACGAGTCTTGGTCTTTCATCCAAGCCATTTTTTAGTGCACGTTGCTGACCTTTTTCAAATGGCAATATCTCACAGACTATCAAATATTCTTAAATTAACGGTAATAGTCCATTTAATGCCTAAACAAATTTAGTATGAAATATTGCGGCGATTGAAATTCAATTAGTATTTTTTTCCGACTTTACAAAAACAACTTAAAACCACTAGCGGTCACTCAGGCACAGCCAGAGGTAGACCGGGTCTGAACTGAGGGCTGAGTGAGTTAAAATGCACAAAATATTACTACGCAAGTATATGTATTAAAATGCATGAGATCTTGACGATAGTTCATATATATTTTAAAAAACATAGAATATCCAAAGAAAAACAGCTAGGCCTAATAATAATTTGAAACAGATTTATAAGTTGAAATTCGTATTAAACTGATAAAAATGAAAGAAAATTACTATTCTTTCTTAAATAATGAAAAATGGCCATCCCAGTGAAGAAGTTGAGCTCTTTGAGCTTTAGAAAACAGACTCTGCATACCTAAATTGCCCTTTTGAAAACTGGGATGTGACAGGTGTAGATCATCCTGCTATTTATATTTCGAAGTGGCTAGGCTAGCCTGCCAGTCTAGCCGTACATAGATCTAGGTTAGACCTTTTTTTATTGACAGAAACCTGTTGAGCACACAGGTCTCATTATATCTAGTAATTATTCAGGTTTAATATGCATGTCAGTAAGGCACCTTTTGGTTTCGTCTGAAATACAAATATTTTAATTTAGTTATTGCAAACTAAAATTTTATTTACAAATCAACCATCACTATTAAGTACGGCTAGCCTGCCAGTCTAACCGTCCAAGTAAGCCTAGCCTAGCCGTCTAGCCGCACTTTAAGTACGGGAGCAGTCTAGCCATACTTTTAAGGCCCTATTAGAAACCTGAGAATACAGGTCTCATAATAAAATTATTCAGGTTTAAAATTCATGCACTGTCAGTAAGGCACCTTTTGGTTTCGTCTTAAAAATACTTTAATGGGTATTGCAAACTAAAAATTACAATTCAGTAGGCCTATTTTTTGCTGTTTGTCAGTCTAGATCTAGCCATCATTAATAAGTACGCTAGCAGTCTAGCCGTCATTAAGTATGGCTAGCCTCTTCTTATATACTTTGCTACCAGGAATTCTCCGGCTGAGGTATTTCACATAGAAACTATAGGCTATTAAAATGATTAATATGATATTTGAATGGCTTTCCGCTGTCCAGGTCTCAGCGCCATACACCAAGGGTTTTACAGTGTTATTTAACTCATTGTGTTTTACTATCGTTTCCACACGACGTGGGGAACTCTGTGCCACCACTTTCCAAAGAGGAAATTTACTCGTTAATCCGCTTTGCATAGTAGTCTATCATTACTTTAACTATCAAAACGATTTTTTGAGAAATACTGAAAGTTTCAAAGAGATCTTCCTACTAGAATATATAGATTCTAGAAGTATTCTAATCTAAAATGTGAAGAATACAACCTCGGGGGTACAATATGAGGAAGGACTTCCGTAACGAGTGACAACCCCAACAAATGCAAAGAGGCCTTCTAACACTAATCCTGACCCAGCCCCTACCCCAAACCTGACACAACCCCTAACCCGACCACTACCCCCACCCCAAACCGTACCCCTAACCCTCTATTTTCTACTCTGTTTCATAGTGTGGTCGCTCATTACGGAATTCCTCCCCAGGGCGTATGGATAGGGTTAATTGTAGACTTTCAATATCATGCACTAGAATCTAGATCTGGACTCTAGATTCTCTAGAGAAGAGATCTAGATCTAGATTCTAGCTTTCTCGAACAAGAACTAACAGTTGAGGCAGTTTCTAAAGAAACAACAAAGCAAGAGATGAAGAACAGATTCTAAGGCTCGCCAAGTTCTAATGTCAACACAATGTAATATAGGCCGTCTTTAAAAAAAATGAAAAGAACAAATGAAAAGAAACATACAATTATATTTAGGCATTCCTGGAATTAATACGTCAGGCAGTGCTGCCGTCGTAAGGGAAAACGACGAATGGTGAAAATTTTTCGAATTTGTTATTTTTATATATTTCATAGAGTATTTAATTCTGCATCTGATGGTGTAAAAATGTTTGTCATATCCTAATCCGTTGTTGCGTAATTGAGAGTTCGTCGTTTTCCCTTACACTGGCGAACTCCGGGCCACGGCTCAGTGTAAGGGAGAACGACGAATGGTCGATCGGTCAAGGATCACTGCTCGTTCGGCATTGTCCCCTGGGCTCTGCCGTTGGGCAAATTCGGCATGGGCGACGAATGACAATTGGTCACTGTTGCGTCAGTACAAACATACTAGTTTTTTTGCAAACAAATACACCACCACCCCCTCCCCCAGAGTAGAATCGACCAGGTTTATAAGAATGTATCACATAGTGTGTCTTTCTGTCTGTCTTCACGTATTAGGCCTATGCTGATGGTGTGAATTGACAAGAGCAGGCGGGAGAGAGGGGAAAACGGATGGGAACAGGGGTAAAGGGGTGGGGATGGGAGGGTCAAAAAAGTATTTAGGGAGAAATTTATTAGCACTGCATAGTGTCTGCCAGATGTTCACAGACTAACGTCATGTTAGTTTGCTGTCCAGTCATTTGACATCCCAAATCCCAACGATGGTTATAGTGCTGCAATTAGTCTAGCACGTGTCACTGGTCGACATCATTATAGAATTACCAAGCAATTAATGAAACTGCGTTATGAGAGTAAATTTCTTTGTCGAACTTAAAAAGTGGACGTATTGTGGCGACACTTAGTCTTACTTTACGATTTTTTATGACTTGATGGACGTTACGATCGAGTATAATGTGCTTGATGGACGTTACGATCGAGTATAATGTCTTGCAGATTCAAACTGTCCTTGTCGATCTCTACTTTGTGGTATGTTTTCCGATCCGTTCAACTGAATCCTTAATTAAAGACAAAGCGTCACATTACCTGTCCTGAAAGCTTTTGTGAAACAGTCTTGTCAGATTGTTACATTTCTTACGTGAAAGTTTGACTTTGCAATGATCTGATCGTATTATTGACATTGTAACATTGTTGATCCCTTTGGTCGTGCAGGGAAAATTTTGCAATTAGCGAAAATAAAAGTAAAACTCGCTTCTGAAGAGAATGCAATAGAGAGATATCGTGGAGACCAAACTTTGGTTCCGAATGGGACAGTTTTAAATCAAGCGGTTGAAAATGTGTGCTTATCTGATTTGTACACTGACTGTGTTTAGCACTAGCATTTAACCAAGTGAGGAAGGGAAACGAAGATCGTTTACCGAGTTACAATTGGGATATAACAAACACCTAACTTTATACGCATAATAGCTAGATCTCTAGTTTGTATACACTATACACGTCTTATTTTTATTTGTAGTAACCAGTACACAGTCATTACTGTCAATAATGCGTCACAAATGACCATCGCCTACGCCCATAAACGTTCACGAGTGTAAAAGAGAACGACGAACCGTACCATTCGTCGTTTTCGCTTACATCGCAAGGCTCACCTGCATGTGCGCAATGTAAGGGAGAACGACGAATGTCGAATAACTTTGCTACTTTTTTCCTAAGGAAGTGGCTATTCTCACCTGGGGTGAGAATAGATTTATACGATCGACCTCTCACCGCGGGTGAGACTTGCCACCGTAGGCTATTCTCACCCGGTGTGAAACAAGACCTGTTTTTCCTAATTTCGGAATACTTTCTATCGATATGGATGATCAAATGGATAAAGGCAAAGAAAAGATTACGTTAGAGCACAAAATTAAGTAAGCTAATTTTATCGACTACAAAGATGCTATGGCTATTTCACTTTTTGAATCGAGCCGAACTACGGGGATCGCCATTTTGTTTTGCCCGGAAGTTCTCGCAAGATCTACTCCTCCCCTCTTCTCTCTCTCTCTTTCTGAATACTGTCTATCGGTGTGGACGATCAAATTGACCAAAACAAAGTTAAAAAATGATGTTAAAACACAAAAGTAAATTAATTTGTAAATAAATGTCAACACTCTTTGTGACTTGACGAGGACTTTAATAATCAAGCACAATGAAGACATACGTCAGACGATGCATGACTGGGACAGAAACGGAACAGAAATAAAGCAGATGAATATGATTGACAAATAAGGGAAATAATAATAATGGACACAAGGAACAGATACGAATGATGGCACATACATGTGGTCTTGTAGCTACTGAATGATATTCCTCTACGCCCCCCCCCCCCCCCCCCCCAAGTCTTTGGAGTAGAACAGAAAAAACTGATGTAATGTCAAGAAATAATGGTGATATAACAAGGAACAAATGATTGATCAATGAATGTTTGAATCAGACTAAGATTTGGAGTCAATTGGCTTGGGGCTCTGTCTGGCCAATAGCCTTGCTGATCGCCGAGTGACGCCTGGAGGTGTGCTCACGCTTATGGGAGCATCTTGCTCTTGTATGCCAGGGGCGTTGTGCGGCTGGAGCGAACGTAGAGCACGCGGGGTGGCTTGAGCCTGAGGTTGTGGAACCACCGTCTCGACAGCAGGGCGTGGATCAGGTGCTAATTCTTGCCCGGATTCGGGGACAGTAGGCATCGATGGATCGTGTGTTGGGGGGTCCTGAACGCCAGCTGGTTGTGGTAGATCCGGGCAAGGAGAGGGCGGCGAGGTCACGCTGGGCTTGGTATGCTCGGGGGTGTGAATATTCTGAGGCACTGACTGTGGTGGTGAGGTGCCACCCGGGATCATTGTCAGTGGTGAGCGTGGGACCACAGGCATGTAGTTGCGGAGGAACTTTCTGTTGCGAAGAGTGACGCGGCCAGAGCCATCCACTCGAACGACGTACTGGTCAAATTGACGTACTTCGACTACAATGCCCGTCTTGTCCCATTTGGTCGGGTGGGTTCCCGTTTGGTTCTGTATGCGCACACAGTCACCGACGACGAGTGGAGGTAAGATGCGAGTGTGCTCAGAGAGGCGCTCAGCGGTGAGCATGTGCCGGTTCCTCAGTGCCTCCTCTCGCGACAGAATGGTTTCACGCCAGGTACTGTGAGGCTGATACTTCCCTGGGTGGATGGGGATGAAGTCCCGTATTGGACGTCCAAAGATACACATCGTTGGGGATAGGTGGGTGTCACGATCAGGAGTGTTCCTGTATTGCAGCATTGCGCGCTGGAACTTGTCAGTGTTTAAAGATCCTTGGGCACCTGTGTTGTCAGCGATCAACCGTTTCACTGTCTTTACTCCAACTTCAGCGCGACAATTAGATTGGGGAAAGGCGACTGAAGAGACCCTGTGGTGGACAGCCCAGTTGCAAAGGAAGGTGGAGGTTGCCAGGGACGTGAACTCTGGGCCTCCGTCCGATGTCAGTTCATGGGAGGCTTCTTCAACGATAGGCCAGTTACTGTACCTGTCGACTGCAACTAGGTAGCTGTGGCCTCGATGATGAAAATAATCCGCCGCAATACATTGGAACGGGTATGCCGGTGCTATTGGAGGGGTGGGAGGTGCACTCGGCTGGGAAGGTGCCATGCGGTTGCATGACTGACAGCGGGTCCGCACTTCAGTGATGGCCGGGGTCATGCCGAGCCAGAAAAACGAGGCCACAGCTCGAGAGCACATTTGGGACACACCCTGGTGAGCAGAGTGTAAGGACTGGAGGACTCGCTCACGGAGCGACGGGGGGATGACTACCCGGTCGTGGTACAGGATGACACCATCAAATGTCGTGAGTGAGGAACTCCCGGAATTGATGGTATGGGCGAAGATCAGGGGACAGAGAAGTCCTGTCTTCAGGGAACCCATCCTCAATAGTGTTACTCAAAGCAGTCATTGTAGAGTCGCTGGATGTTGCAAGTCGAATCTCGTCCCAAGTCACTGACTTGATCACCTCAGTTGGAGCGAGGTCAGGTTTGGAGCATACCTGGTTGGTGTCGTCCAGTTCCTGGGTGCAGATGGCAGAAAGAAAGTCGTGTGGCAGTTCAGGTGTCAAGGGAGGGTCATCAGGGAGCAGAATGGGAGCGGCAGCATCAGGGAGCCTGAGAGTGTTAGGGCTGCCCACTGGTCTGCGGGAGACGGCATCTGCTGCAGCATGGCGTAGACCGGGGATGTGGACGATGCGGAAGCGATATCTAAGGGACTTCTCCGTGAGGTTCCTGAGGCGGGGATTGGGGATATCGTCGAGACACCGGTCCCCAAACGTCTTCAAAAGAGGTTTGTGGTCCACCGCCACGATCAGGTCGGAACAACCCAAGGTGAAATGGCGTGCTTTGTCTAGTGCATTAACCGCAGCCAGGGCTTCACTTTCTATGGGCGCATAGCGGGACTCGGCTCCTGATGTGAATCGACTACCGACCAGGGTGATCTTCCAGCCAGTTTTGCGGCAAAATGGCTTTTCCGAAAGACAAGTACAATGTTTCTGGAAGAGCCAGAAGCCTATGCCATCCTTGCTCCAGTCGGTGGCAAGGCAAGTTGGTTTCTTCTTGTCAAATATTTCAACCCCTTGGTGGATTTCGTTGCTGATGGCCTCCTTTGACCATTCAAACAGACGGCCGAGCTCCTCTGCCCATTCGAGGCGTTTTCCCGGCTTCAGCGCTTCCCGGAATGGGAGCATGCGTTCAGCGGAAGCGAAGGCATAGGATACCTGATTGATGTGACCGAACCAGCTCCTGACGTCGGTGATGTTCCGAGGTGTGGGGAAATGTCGAATGGCCTCCAGGTAGCGGGCACATGGGCGCACGGTGGAGGGAGTTATTTCGAAACCTGCAAACTCAACCGTAGTTTTGGCGAATTTAAACTTGGATGGGTTGAGTATGATGCCATTGGTGCCACATAGGTCATGCCACTTGACGGCCTGAAAAAAGGCTTCCTCAATAGAGTTTGACCACATAAGGGTGTCGTCAATGCATTTGGTTTTGTGGGGGAAGTCGGCAACGATCTCATCGAAGTGGCGGCTGTATCCATCCCCGGATGATATGTAGCCTTGAGGAGCCACTGCTCCAAGCCCTCTCTGTTCTCCTCTGTGGCAGGAAACGGGAGGGAGGTTGGTGGTGGCGGAGGTGATTGGCGGTGTCAGCACCCGCAAGTCGGATTGTCCTTCGAATTGATAGCTGCACTGGTGGCGCCAATGGTCGGAAAGCTAGGAGGGATTATTCCCAAAGCCACACAGGCTTGCTTGCTTAGGAATACCCGACCAGTGGATGTGGTGAAGTACACCATCTGGTGGGTCCTCAGCTTGGTGTTGGACGGAGATGTACCAGAAATACGAAGGGGAAGGGCTCCGATGATGTCAATGGCCCCACGATTCGCAGCTGTCATCTTCATGTTGACAGGGAGGAGATGACGGCGAGTGAGGCTCATCCTAGTCAAGAGTGCTACGCCCGCCAGGCACGACTGGCACGCAGTATCTACCATAGCTTGGTACTTGACGGGAGAGTTGCTGCCTCTCAGAGATGGCGGGAAGCCGAGAGATTGGGCGTCTGAAGGCACTGCCTGGATGGTGACGTTCCCAAAAGACCGAGGGTCGGATGCTCGCTTCTCCCATGCCCTGCAAAACTCGTTGTATACATGATGGTCTAGGGATACAGAGTGCGCATTAGACACTGGTGTGGCGGAATCTGCACCGCATAGACTGTCAAAGGCGGCAGCAGAGTCATCCAGGGCATTGGTGGGGTTGCGATTCCGTGACGACTGTTGGCAGAGGTTGGCGAAATGATTGGATAGGCCACACCTGGTGCATCTTTTACCAAATGCCGGACACTTCTTCATACGTTCCTGTCTACCATTCCCATGGTCCAGTTTGCCGCAGTAATTGCAGGGGAACGCTTGGCCCTTACTGTGGAACAAGTTGCCCTGAGTGCTGAGCTTCCCACTGCGCTTGTAGGAGCTTGTGGCCACTGCCGTGGTGTAGGAGCAGCTATCAACGAGGCGACTGGCTGACCTCTTGCCACTCTCCTTCGCCTCCACGTAGCAGAGTGCATCCTTAAGGGACATGTCCTGCTTTGACTCTCCTAATATGTCAAGTCGGATCTCCTCATCAATTAGACCTCGGATGAGGACGTCACGATTCATCATATCGCTATAGTCCACGCTGGGTTCGTGGACATCTGGAGGGCACCTAGGGCATTTTATCTTGAAGTTGCAAACCCCAGCCTGGCCCCTGAGGCGGGCGGCGAAGGCTCTGACAGGCTCGTCCCGGTCTTGCTTCATTTGATGTAGCTGTACTCGTGCTACCATGATGTTTTCCTGGCGCACCGCCAGGCTCTTGATGTTCTTTAGGACAGTGTCCTCTTCGCTGGAGGCTAGGGCGCCGAATGTCCTTGTGAGATCTTTTCATAGCGACTCATCGCAGCACTCGAGAAGCTGGAAGACGATGTCTGCACCAGTGAGGCGAGCCGCTTGTTTGTAGTCGGCCCACCGTTGGGTGAAGTATGACCACGCCTCGCTCGTTCCGGATGCAGACACTACAGGGCGTCGCACTTTCTCAGCCTTGGCTGCCGCAGTCGGTGCATTCGCTCGTGTTGCATGGGCTGTGGTGGCGTGGATGTCAATGAGGCGTGTCAACACCTCGGTCGGCGTAGATGCAGGCCACTCCATGTCGCAGTCCGGGGCAGGGCAAGGGATGGTGGTCATGATGTATCTCTTATGTCTTCATAAATAAATGTCAACACTCTCTGTGACTTGACGAGGACTTTAATAATCAAGCACAATGAAGACATACGTCAGACGATGCATGACTGGGACAGAAACGGAACAGAAATAAAGCAGATGAATATGATTGACAAATAAGGGAAATAATAATAATGGACACAAGGAACAGATACGAATGATGGCACATACATGTGGTCTTGTAGCTACTGAATGATATTCCTCTATTTGGTCGTCTACAAAGATGCTACGGCTATTTAACTTTTCGAATCGAGCCGAACTACGCGGGTCGCCATTTTGTTTTGCCCGGAAGTTCTCGCGCTACTCCTCTCTCTCTCTCTCTCCACTGCCCACAGACAAAATTGTACGCTTTTAGTAGGCTAACAGTAGTAATGGAACGTTTGTTCACGGCACAGAATTCTACAATTTTTCTGTTATCACAGTGTAGAATTCTGTGTTTAAGGGTGAACGCAAAATTGGTTGGCCTAGATCTAGATCTAGGCTATAACGGTGAACGCGCACCGGGTGAGAATAGCCAAAAGACTCGCCAGCACTATTCTCACCCAGGGTGAGAACAGAGGTGGCCTTTACCTAAACCATTCAAACTTTAGAAACTTTTTCATGAACACCTTAATCAGATATATGGTGAATTACAGCTTAAAAGAGTGAAAAATAGAAGAGTTATAAAGTGAAAACTGTTTTTGCCTCTCCTGAAAAATTTGCCTCGGTACCTGCGCAGGACCATTCGTCGTTTGCCCTTACGACGGCAGAGTGGGCGTCATCGCTTGGCTTGAAGTTGAAGGGAATGGCAGGCACTGAGTGACGAGTGAGTCAAATCTCTCTGTCTCTGTGTGACAGGATGTTTGTAACCATTATTCTGTTTTACCATCAACAAACCGACGTATTTATGAAGATACTTCACAAGAGTATAAAAGGGGTCTTCGTTTACATCATGTATCAACATTCTAGCCTTTATCACATTGTCTCTCTATCCAATTTGATCACCCAGAGTTTCCGGATGAATGCGAAATTTTACTTCAATTAATTGTTTCGTTCAATTAATCAATGACGACGGACTTTTAACTTGTGTGTAACTAGCAAAGCAAAACAAATATAGAGTAATGTCCCCTTACTTGCAACTATTTTCCTTGGCCTGAGGTGGGTTACCTTACATCCTTGTACTTAGTTTAGTGAGGGCGAGGGGATATAAATTCGCCTTTATCGGGGGATAACAGAAGCCTCTGTTTTTAAAACTTATTATAACATTTATCATGTAGATTTATCTCTGATCCGTTACTATAGAAGGCTTTATCTGCTCCCTATTTTTCTGTTATTTCAAACATCTTCTACGGTTTTGTTGCGAAAGTCTGTCAACAATTAAAATTAAAAGTGTCAACCAGTCACAAAAAGTAGATCAGTTTGTTCTTCCAGGGCCAAGTTCCATTGAACGAAACTGAAACTAAGACTTGGACTTGATAATTAAATTGGGGTTCTCTCTCAACGGCCCTCATCTAGGCCTAGTGGATCTTTATTTATCTGTGTCTGTCTGGGGGAATTCTTCCATCTAGATCAGGTGAGACAAGTGTGTGTGTGTGTGTGTGTGTGAGAGAGAGAGAGAGCAACTCAAATCAAAATTATCTGCCCGCGTGCCGGGCACGAAACTTGAAGATGTGCTGACCATCGTGGTTTGCTGTCGACCACTACTACAGTCATGTTTAATTGACAACATAGTCTAGAATCTAGATGTAGTCTAGTCTTACTTTTTTTCAGTAGGCCTACGCATCTCTGAAAATAAAATGTATTATAATATCGAAGTGGCTAGCCATATTAAGATCTCTAATTTTGTTTGGCCCTATCATCTAGAATCTAGATCTAGATCTAGATCTAGATTAGATATTAGATCTAGAACCTGTTGAGTACGCAGGTCTCATTAGAGTAATTATTCAGGTTTAAAATACATCATGATGCAAGTCAGTAAGGCACATTTTGGCTTCGAAGTGGCTAGCCGTACTGACTTAAGTACGGCTAGACTGCCAGTCTAGCCGTACTTAGATCTAGATCTAGGTTTGGCCCAATCGACTCAATCCTGTTAAGTACACAGGTCTCATGAGATCTAGATCTAGTTATTATTCAGGTTCAAATACACATGCAAGTCAGTAAGGCACCTTTTGGTTTTGTCTGAAATACAAATACTTTAGGCATTGCAAACTAAAATTTTCATTTACAATTCAGCCATCAATATTAAGTACAGCTAGACTGACAGTCTAGTCGTCCTTAAGTACGGCTAGCCTGGCTGTCTACCCGTACTTAAGTACGGCTAGACAAGAAGTCTAGCCGTACTTATCTTAGGCCCTATTTACATTAGAAAACAGGAGGTTTAAAATACATGCACTGTCATTAAGGAACCTGGTTTTGTCTCAAATACAAATACTTTAGGTACTGCACACTAAAAATGTATATTTACAATTCAGTAGGCCTATTTTTTGTAAATGGTCAGTCTAGCCATCATATTAAGAATAAGTACGGCTAGACTGCCAGTCTAGCCGTCATTAAGTACGGCTAGCCTCTTCCTTTTGGCTTTGTCTGAAATACAAATACTTCAGTCTAGCCGTACCTAGACTCTCAGTCTAGCCGTACTTAAGTACGGCTATACACTTCGATATTTTAAAGTACGGCTAGCCTGGCCGTCTAGCCGTCCTTAAGTATGGCTAGCCTAGCCGTCTAGCCATACTTAAGTATGGCTAGCCAAGAAGCCTTAAGTACCGCTAGCCTGCCAGTCTAGCCGTACTTGACTATAATAATCTTAGGCCCTATTAACATTAGAAAACAGGTCTCATTTGATCTAGTAATTATTCAGGTTTAAAATACGTGCACTGTCATTAAGGCAACAGTAAGAGACATTCTCTTCGCCGATGATGCTGCTCTTGTTGCTCACAATGAATCAACCCTACAAACAATGATGGACCTATCAGTTGAACTCTGCTTCTCCGAACGGCAATCTGAGCTCAAAGCTGTGAATAGAATTAAAAATCCAAGTTCCAGGACAACAAAGGGTTATAACTATCTAAAGATAGTCTGAACCCGCTTTATTTGGCGAGAAAGACTAGAAATTAAGTAGAGAAAAGTCAAAACCCTTCCAAAGGGAACAAAAGTCAGTCATTCAAAGTAACAGTGATCTAAAACAAAAACTTTTCCAACAGCATACTTTATATGATATTCAAATAAAATCAGGACAAAACAATGCATATTCTGATAGTGTTAGACAAGCAACACTCCTTCTACAGTATTGAGGTTGGAGTCCGAACAGCCATGGGAGGCTCTATTCAGACTTGAGTCCGAATAGCCACTTCGGAAAGGTAAACCAAACCGGTGGGATGACCCAAGATGATACAAACTGTATGAAAAATAAAGCTTTTAACTTGCCGCCAATGTAGTTCTTTTTAGGACGAGGGTGGTATGGGTTCTTTTCTTCTTAAAAATAAAAATCTAGCTGCATTATTTTGGACATACAGTCAAACTGTGCCGCCTATCTAGGGATGAGCATGAAGTTGGCAGTACATGGTGGCTGGCGGTATAACAGGATAAAACCAATTGTCATCTTGAATAGTGGTAGAGACAAAATGTTACCAGTCTTTACTTATCTGGATGACATATCTTTCTTGCATTATTGCCTTGCGCATGGGAAACCGAACTGTAGAAAACGTCATGTTATAACTTAAATAAATTCAAATGATTAATTTCTGCATGATCAGAAACTAGGCTATTATGTAATGTCAATGACCCGGTAGATGTATTTTTTTTCTTTAACAAACCTGATACTCGTCAGTCCTTGGGACGCTTCGGACACTTTAAAGTATTGTGAGTCCTCACAATTTTATCCTCATGGGCGCCCGTCAGCCTTTTGGTTATTGTGCCGACATCTGGTGATGCCAGATATTTTGCCTACAGGCAACTTTGGAGTTTCTCCAGGCGGTTTTGAAATTTAATTGCAGTTTTTAAATAAAATATTGAGCGAAGTTGTTAATAGCATTTTCATAATCAGGAGCAAATTAAATGCTAGAAATAGGCCGAATTCGCAGAGACATGTGTTTGGCAGAGATTATCAAGCGCCCAGGTGTGTGTCGTGCACCATGTGTAGTGTGTACCTCTGGTGGCTAATTTGCTGGTGGTACAGTGGCGCAAATTTACTTTAGTTTAAAGGGACTGAACAAGTCAGATAGTTAGCACATGGCAGTGTAAAGGCGCAAATGCTATGTTTAAGATGACCCTTTTCTTACATTGGCAAAACCTGGCGGTAAGTGGGACTGGCGTTACAACGAGGGGTGGTACAACGAGATTTGACTGTATTTTGAAAGCATGGAATGTTTCATCTGAAATTCCTGTGGGAAGAGAGTTACAATTGTATAAAATCAAATTTCGAAAGAAAAGTGATGCTACAAGGGTTTTTGTTACATTTTTGGACAAGTAATCTATGATGTTGCTGCTTTCTTCTTTAATTTGAAAGGTAAGATTTTGACAAAGTGGAGATGAAAGCAGCTGACAAAACAGGACTAGAGGTGAAAGGAGAAATTTTCAAGGTGAAAAGAAACATTTTCAGAGAGCAATTTTTTTACACTGTCTGGTTTTGAACATGTGACCTTTTGAATGAGTGGCAAACACTGTACAGGCTAGACCACAGCATCCCTGAATGTAAATGCAGTAACTGTGAACCCGTTTTCTCAGTTCTTACTCTTTTGCATTTTGTTACTTCATAAGTAATATTTCAGCTTCTGGAAAGATTGTTGAAAAATTTAAAATGTGTGTAATAATCAGGAAGATCCCAGCTTTCAGAAAAGCACAAAAATATACCGGCTCTCATTTGTCAGTTGCCTCATGTGTCATTCTTTATTTTTATCCTTTTTCATTGTTGTGTGCATTTTGTTGTCTTTTTACTTGTTTTAAAAGGTTTTTTTTCTTCTTTATGGTTTTTATCAATGTTATTAGATATTTAAAAGATAAACTTTATTGATCCGCGAGGGAAATTTTTTTTTATCTACCATAATGAAATGTTATTATTTTCATTCAGTCAGATGAACTGAAATTATTGCATTGGGTTGAAAAATGAGAGCTGACAATTTATTTTTCTAGCAAAATTGCATTTGAATATATTTGACTTTTAAAAAATGAGAATTCTGTTGGATACTGCTCTGGGTCGTGTTGCATCTGATTTGTTTAAATTTTAGCTTGTCATGATGTATTTTTCCAGAAAGTTAAGATTTTTTTCTATGTTTCCCATTAGAAGGGGGTTAGATCATTGTAAACTAACATGCAGCTATCTTTTTCCATTCTTCTGCTTATTAGGGAAAAAGTCTTTCAAACTAATAGCAAAGATGGATGAGGAGGAAGCACCTTCACAAGAAGCTTTCAGGAATGTGATCATAAGACCGAACCGCAGTGACTACAACAACTGGGTCTCCCAAAGTAGGAGAAATGATGGGTCAAATGTTGATGGTGAGCCACCACGATCGAATGGGGCAACATCCGGACGAACTGCTAACAATGGCATTGGTCAGTTATCAAATAACCTGTCCAGCAATATGGTTGTGAGTGAGGCGGGCGATGCAGATGGTATAAGTCAACCCAGTAGAAGAGTGCAGAATCTAAACTCAAACTCATCAAATGGCAGTAGAAACTCTCAACCTGTGGCTACTACTAGGCTGCGTCATCGAAGGGGACGTGCCTCGGGAAATTCTGAATCCTTTGCGGGTCCAAGGACAGAGCGAGCACAAGCTAACTCAGTCGCAAGGAACTCGTCTCCCACAAGACATACTCAGATGCGTGGAACACGTGCTCGGTTAGTTCACCCTAGGTCCAACAACCAGAGAGCAGCTGAGCGTAATCTTAACCCTGAACCAGAACTACTGGGATCTGTGATGATTTCTTCTAGGCCACAGCTTGAGAGAGAACGTTTCATCTCACCCCTGTCGCTGGGGGAAGGTACAGACGATAACCCGTTCCTGTTGTCTCCGGGTAAGTTTCTTCTTTGTCGCATCTTTTATTGTGTAGTTGTCTACTTATGTTATGGTGGGTCAGCTGTCTGATCAATTTTGTTGTGCTGTCCAATGATAACCCTTGTTTGAATCCCCAACCGTGGGCGGTTGTTGGGTGCTCTGGTTTGATTTGCTCCTGGTTCTTTCCTATGCTATGCGACATCTAAATTATTGTACTTATCTCCCCTCCTTTTTTGTGTTTGTTACTCTCTTATAAAGGCCCTAATCTTCTGCCCTTTTATGACCTTATTGTGCTGCAAGTGCTGTAACACTTTTACAAAAACTAAACTGAAAAGAATCCTCAACTAGTACTTTTTCAAACTTTGATTGTTTGGGTTCTCCACTCTCTTGGCACAGTTCTTTCAGAGAGACGGTTTAAATCTAGCGTTCAAGCATCTTAATTTAATAAGCTTACAGATCGAAAGGATGGTTTAACCCCAACCGTACCATACCTTCATCATACAGAAAATAATTGATCTTGATTGTATTTTAAAACACTATTCAATATTTAATACTGAAGACAGATTTTCAAATCTTCTCTCCTCCTTTCTCCTCTCCTGCCTTCTCTTTCCCATAACTGCCTAGTAAAAGTTGTTCCCGCATCTGATCCGGACATTTAGGATTGCCTTGTTAGTGAGACAACTTCCTGGGTCTTCTGCATATTGTGGTAGGATGGCCAGTTCCTTTCCATGCCGCCTTTACTCCCCCAACTCAAAGTCAGGTACCCATAACTGCTGGGTGGGCAGGAAGGGGAAAAAAAAAAATGTGTGTCTGAAACGAGGCTCGAACCTGGACTTTTTGTTCCGGAGATGAGTGCACTGACCGCTCCACCACCTCACCCTCAGTTGCCTAGTAGTACATTAAAAAAACCTATGTAAATTCATTTTTGAGGGTATTAGTTTGAGAAGCTGTTTTCATGTGAGAAAATATATATTATTCTCTAGTTGTGCTCCTCACAGTGTTACTGATGATGAAGAAAAATTATGACCTTTCAAGACTGGATCTGCAAATAGTATTTGAATGAAGCTCACAAGTCTGTGGGTAGAATCTGTTCTTTGGTACTGAGAAATTGACAGCTATGCTTTTACATTTATTTTGTCCTTTCATTTAAGAAATATTTTTTTAATTTTATTTTTTTCCCCTCCTTTTTCCTTTTTGATTTATTCTTCTTTCATAGCACTTTCTATTATTACTATTATGCACTTGTTAATATTCTGACATCACTTTCACACTTTCACATTACATAAGCACTCACAAGTAAACATTTATCAGACGCACACATATATACACAGGCGCCTATGGTGTAGTGGTTATGCGTTTAACTGTCGTATGCAGAAGACTTGAGTTCAAATCTGGAGTTGGGAGATTTTTTTTACAGAATATGTCGGTCTCTCTGCTGAGATGTTGTACCCCTCTCGGCCCGCGTTGGCCTGATAGGCACGATCAGAGGCCCACATCCTAAATGATCTAACTTGTTTCATGGTGGGTGTAAAATCACCTACACTGTGCACACACCCAGGTGCAAACGGAATTGGGAGCACGCATGCACACACACACGCATGCATGCACGCACGCACGCGCACACACACACACACACACACACACACACATGTCACTCAAACATGTATCCAGTCTCTCTCTCTCTCTCTCTCTCTCTCTCTCTCTCTCTCTCTCTCTCTCTCTCTCTCTCCCTCTCTCCCTCTCTCCCTCTCTCCCTCCCTCCCTCCCTCCCTCTCTCTCCCTCTCTCTCTCTCTCTCTCTCTCTCACACACACACACATGTATGTTTCATTCAATATTACTGTCTCTCTCTTTCACACTCACACACACACATATACATGTACCCACACACGCACACACACACACACACATGTACACGCACGCACACACACACACAAACACCAACAAAAACAAACACTCTGACAAACACACACTGACAAACACCAACAAACATAAATACTCAAACACTCCAGTGAAGAACATAGAGGGGTCAGATGTACAGTCTGACAAGTTGAAATGACAAGTGTTCACTCTATCAGTCTGTCTCTTCTCTCTTCTCTATCAGCTTGTCACTGATAAGATCTGTGATAGCTGTGTGTTGGCTAAAGAGACCTGAGCTTTTGACTTGAGCTCTTGTTAAATTAAAAAAAAATATTGTTTTGTTTTGTTTTTGTTTTTTAAACATTCATGTGTGCTAGGAACTCAGAGGTCTGGTTGCCACTTTACTAAAATAATAACACATTTTCAAAACACCAGCTTTGAACATAAAGAGAAAGAATCAAAAGAGAATGAAATGTGTGTTATGTGAATGGCAAGCAACATATGTTATGATAAAAATACAAGAGCAGTGATTTCGTTCTGCTGACATGACACATGTATATAGAAAAACTGCTTGAGTTTTGTGTTTAAGCTTTTTCGCGTAAAACATTGATTATTTCAGTCAGAAAGGTTACCGGACATTTAGAAAAACTTTTTGGCTGGCTGGGCTAGGGAAAAAGGGAGGCTCAAAACATACTCCTCTTTCTTTTTCTCATAGCATGCATCTCCCACGACATGTGGTTGTGAACTAAAAACTCAGACCAAAAGCACAATCACAAACTAGGTGCTGTTACTTTTTGTCAAGAAGGAGGATCAGACTGTGAGTGTACATAAATTGGATGATAGCTGTTCTTGAGAAGACAAAAGGTCCTTTGGTGTTGACAAAACTTGTCGTCATGGCATGTGCTAGTTGGTCATGTCACTGCCACTGTCATTGTCACTGTCACTGTCACTGTCAATGTGCTTGCATTTCAAGGCGACGACGTTTGGGTATTCATACAAGTAAGTTTTCTGCTATTTTAAGTTACTATGTGGGCGGTTGGCGGGTGTTCTGGTGTGGTGTGTTCCTTCTTTCCTATCCGCCATCTGTCGTCTTTTTCTCCCCCTCCTTTTTTGTGCTTGTTACTCCCTTGTAAAACCTCTATCTAATCTTTGGCTCTTCTATGATCTTATTGTTTTGCAAGTGCCGTAAAACGTAAAACTCATATGAACAGAAAAAAAGGTTAGTATAACATGTTTATATGAGTCTTCCTTCTGTGTTTGTTGGATGTTTTGATTCTAATTTGTCAATGTCAGCTGAGGTTAATCATCTGACCAGTTACATGTACTTCTCCTTCAGGTGTCAGGTCTGTAGCAGACATTGACGATCATAGTACCCCATTCCTTCCTGTAGTCTGTTTTCTTGATTAGCTCGGTTTTTCTCCCTGTGTTATTCGTTGCAAAGTTGTTCAGGCCCTATTCCATTTGATCTATTTGCGTGGCCAACGAGTCCCAATTGTCATTTTCTGATAGTTCTGATAATGGATCTTTCACATCCTGCCATTTGGAGTACTTCTCTTTATCTGTTCGTTTTCCTCTCTTACCATGAGATTCTGAGTATATTCTCCTTAGTTACCACATATCAGCGGCCTCCAGTCTTCTCTCTGTCTTTATTTAGAGTCCAGCTCTCGCATCCATACAAAAAGATACACAGTCGAACCTGCCTTAACGGAATCCTGTATAAAACGGAATCTCCCCGCTCCCCCCTTGATATACATGTATTCCTCTTTATTTACCTGTATAAAACGGAAACCTGTCCAACGCGGAAACGGAAAGAAAAATCCGCTCCCTTCCGAGGGTTTCACCTGTCTAAGACGGAAAATGCTTTGCCCGCTCAGCCCTGATTTGAAACAAAACTCGCAAATTTGGTTCCGACGGCTCTAACCTTCACGCTATGGCCATGCCACTGGGCGAGGAAGGGGAGTAGGGGTGCAATTTGGGGGTAGATGTGACCCCATCATGTGAGCCCTGAGTGATGCAGATGGTCAGTGTAGTGTGGGTGTGAAATCTCACGACTTCCCGTGAGAGTGTTCGAGTAGCGAGCCACTACGAAAACTTTCCTGGGTAGCCAGAAGCCAGAGGTGTGAAATTAGATTGACCAATGCCTGCCACCCTGATCGTACAGCCAGCCGAGAAAAAAGTTCCTTGAATCATTGTTACAGGATGGCAGTGAGGGGTGGCATTGGTGGGTGGGGCTAAGGGTGGAATCAAAGGAGAGGTCAAACAGTGGTCCTATGAAAGGCAAGCACTGGTGGTAAATATAAGTAAGACTGACGCATGACATTATAAGACAGGATAGCAATTGAGAGGTGTGAAGTTTTGACCACTGCTTGCCGATCGGACAAGCGATCCTTGATCCCACCGACTGGACCTTTGAACCCCCCCTCCCAAACGTCCATCTCCCCCTAAATTCCCCTGTCTAAGACGGAAAATGTCTAAGACGGAATTTTTTTCTGGCTCCCTTGCGATTCCGTCTTACACAGGTTCGACTGTATACATATGCTTTTGTTGATGGCCTATGCTCCACTCTTGGGAGTTAAAAAGGGCTAGAGAGAGAAATGATTTCAGGGTTCTTATTTTTGTGTTCATTGTTTTGTTTCTATTTGAGAGGATAGGTTTCATCATGCTTAAAGTTTCTTTAGATATTGCATTCCTCTCTTTTATCTCTGTGTCGCTCTTTGCATCTGGTGCAATTGTGCAACCAAGGTATTTAAACTGTTGACCTGTTTTATTCTTTTGTTCTTACATGTTGTATCAACGGGGTACTGTAGTTTGTTAGTTACATGTACTTAGAAAAGGAAAAAAATCAACATGATTAATAAGTCATTTAATCAATAACTAAGAATACTGCCTTATTAATAAATTGTAGCTTAATTTTATTGAGACTTGATTATTGCAATTCCTTACTATCCGTAATATCTGTGGAGAAAGTGAAAAGACTTCAAATTAAAAAAAAACAATGCTGCAGATTTAGTTTTTTAGAAAATACAGAAAGCGAGACTGTTTGACTGATAACGTAAAGTACCATCATGTTTATAAAATCTGTTGGAACTGTACATTCTTCCTTCTCGCAGTTCAAGGTCATCAGCTGACAAAAAGAAATTTCTTTTAGCATTTATAAAACGATATTTTTTAATTTTTTTGGGGGGGGGGAAGGGGGGTGTTTGCAATCAACATTCCCTCTTCCTCCATCATCTTCATGGCTGTTGCAACGACTCAGATAATTTTCTTTAGTGCTGGAAAGTCTGTTTCTGTATAATTCTTTCTTTTCAATTTTTTTGTTATGAACAAATTTTATCCTCAAGTGGAACCACTGTCATTCCCCTGGCACCTTGAAATGACACAAACAAATATGAAAGTGCGAACAGAACTTTATCCCGATCTAAAAAGCAGAAGTGATTCAAATGGAAAAAGCAATACAACTTATTTTTGCACTGTTTTCACACACTTCCTAATTTTTAAACAAAGGTTGGAAGTGTGTGTGAAATAAATTAATATGGAATATGTTTTAAGGAAGTGTATATTTATACGGCAGGCCGTCGGAAAATCGGAAGTGATAATTTCAGCCAATCAGGACAACCGGACTATTTATAAATAAGCCTATAATTGCTTTTCCAGAATTAACACATTATAGATACTTTTTTAAAGATACCTGTAGGTTTATTTTAACAATGTTTATCGTTTGTATCATGTTGTGCTTTATGGACAATGATGAAATGTTTTGTGTGATTGTAACGAGAGTAGAGATGCACAATTTATCTTGTGCACGCAAATTTGTTTTTTTTCCAATAGTGGGGTACCTATTTGCGGATGGGGTTGGGTCTGGTCGTGTCTGGATGATCACCCGATTCGTCGCCTGAAAACAAACGCAATTGTTTTTTAGGCTGCGAGTCGGGCGCGGTCGGCAGCTTGTGCCACGATAGCCACTTTGCGCCCTCAATCTGGCTGGCAGACCGCCCCACCTCGACCTGATCCCCCAAAGGGCACCCCATGCTTTGCCTGAGTGCATGAAATTGACATTATTTTATCACCTATTTTCATTTGCAATACCTTTTGTATGAAAGAGTAAGATGTGTAAAGTAAAGTAAATGTACTTGCATTGTAATGTAAATCTAATGTCGTATACCGGTAAACGCTCTGGGTATTTCCGTTACATCTCCTTGGATTAAATACCTTGCATTGATACACTTCAAGTAGGGCCTATCTATTCTGATCTTTAGATTCAAGACGGCATACCGTATGATGTTCAGACAGCATGCTGTGGAAATATCGACTACGATCTTCAGACGGTTTGCCGTCGAAATATCGCTACCTTTTTGTAACTTTCCAAGATGCACACACGGTTTGTAAGTGCCCAGTGACCGTGAAGGTTCTGCTGTTGGCTGACAAAATGCCTTTATTAAAATTCTCAGCAGTTTCAAGAAAGAAGGCATTTTGTCAGCGTAACCATTAAAGAAAATGCTTTCTTCTGAAATTTGAATTCTAATTTGTAAAAAAAACTGGTGACAGTTTCACTTTGATTTGTCACACACGTAGGGTTACTGATCGGGCTATCAATTTAACAAATTAAAAAATTTGACACCCAACAAATGAAGAAATGCGTTTCGCAGCGGACGACAGAGTTAATAAACTGTTCTGTGCCTTGGAAAGCATGCGCATAAAACCAACCAAGAGATAAAAGGATTCAAAGGTGTGTGGGCCCATCTGCACACTGCCCTCTCCTGTAGGACGGACCAGTAGCGGAATTTTCCGTGAATTATCCTGGAGGGAGAGGGACTTAAAAAGATTTTTTTTTTTTTTAAAGAGATAAAATATAGAATATAATGGTAGCAGAATGCAAAAAATCTTTGCCAAGACAAACACTATTATCTCTATTCTTTTAGGTTCCCCTGACTTGGAGTCAGAAGGATTTGACCTTGGCTCCGTCCCCTTGGCAGCAGGCCTGAGTGACGAGGAGTTTGCGCGGCAGTTGCAGCAGGAGGAGTGGGAGGCGGCCAGCAGCCACGGCCACGATGACTTGATGCTGCCCGAGCCACGGGGAGCTCTGGGCTTGGGGCAACTGCTTTCTTTCCAAAACAGACGGGTGAGTTGTTGTCTGTGCGATCTTGAGACAGTTACAGTTGGGTTGGTGTCGAGCTTACTTTTACTTTTACTTTTTCATCCTGTGTTGCCGTTAAGTGTCGAGGGAAGATGCATTTTCCTATAGTAGACCAGCTCTGCAGCTCTTTCAATTGGGATATTATAATTTCTCATGGTTTCATTGGCTCACTCAATCCACCTTTTGATTGAAATGTCATAGAAGTATTTATTAATGAATATTTCCTCATGAATTTCTGCATGTACATTCTCTCCATTGAATAACATTTCTATTGATACAATTTTTGGGGGATTTCTTTGAGAGATATACCCCCAGTGGGTCGGGGGGATATAAATAGACCCACTGCTTCGTCTGCAGAAGGTGCAACCCCTTCAAAGGCGGAGTGTCGCACACGGACCCCAACCCTCTGGGATCCGTGTGCGACACTTACTTTGGTGTATCCTCCTCTTCTCCTTCCTTCTTTCTTTCTTCTTCTATCTTTCCTACCACCGCTGACCTCATGTGCAGCAAAACGAGAGGTCACCCATTCCACAGAGTGGGCGCCTTGTTGACCGTGAGGTGCGACCCGTGCGGAGGGAAACCGGGCACCTGGCGGTTGAGGTGAGATCAGTCTACGGACTGTCCCTCACCAACACACCTCTTTGGCCCAGGTTTTCCTCTTAGACAGGAGGGTGGCACGGCCCATTCCACTCAATCGGTTGGGAGTTGAAACAACATCAAGCCCTGGGTCAATCTTGACGGGAGGGTTTTACGCACTCTCGTGGAGAGTATAGCTCCGGGGTAGCCCTGGCACAGCTCTGGCCATCCGAGCAATGTGTCCCCTTGTTGGGCTCGATGGCGGGCGGGGAGCCCCGGAGTTGAACCACCAAAAAAACTCACATGGATTCTTCAACTACAAAAAACCCTTCCCCAACTCCCAACGTTATTAAAAAGTCTCGGCTCGCGGAAGTGGGTGCGGCCGCCGAGCCGAGCAAACATAAAACAAAAGGAAAAAGGACCTTTACGACTGCCTCTGCCCTCCCTCCTCTCAGGGAGCTTCCGCGGCAGCCGTACTTGACCATCCGCAGCACCGATGCACAGAAAAAGATGACTGATTTAAACGTATTTAAGATAGGAGATGCTCTAAGACAGGTTCTGGGATACATTCCTACGAATGTCCAGAAACTGTCCTCTGGTGCTCTCCTCATCAAGTGTGCATCGGATAAAGAACTGGCCGGACTTGAAAAGATAACGACCTTCGGTGGTGTTCCTTGTGTTTCCGAGCGACACCAGAAATTTAACCAGTCGAAGGGCGTGGTCCGCAGCCATGAGCTGAAGGGCTGCTCCAACCAAGATATTGTGGATAACTGTGAGGGTGTGGTCGAAGCCCGCCGAATTACTATTTGGCGGGGGGAGTCCACGCTAGAAACGAACACAATAATTCTAACTTTTGATTCGTGCCGCCCTCCAGCCACTGTTCGGGCATCATACTTGGTCTTGGACGTGCGACCCTATGTGCCGAACCCTCTACGCTGCTTTCAGTGTCAGAAGTTCGGCCATAGTCAGTCGCGATGCCGACGTGCAGCCGTGTGTCCTCGCTGCGGCAAGACTGGGCATCCTGAAAAGGAATGCAAGGCTAGTCCTTGCTGCCCAAATTGCCAAGACCAGCACACAGCCTTCAGCAAGGATTGCCCGACTTGGATTCAAGAACGCGCAATCCAAGAGAATAAAGCACGAAATGGATGCTCTTTTCAAGAAGCCCGAAAAGCTGTCTGCCCGCCAGGTATGACCCCGGTCCCTGGCCAGTCATACGCAAGCGTACTCTGGCCAGTCACGAAGTCGACCAGTGCTTCCACTGTCGACCCCCCCAGAACCCGCGGTCAACAAGAAACTTACTGCGAAACAAAAAAAGGTTCCTCCTAAAACTGTGGTACCCACCTTCCAGGTACCACTAACTAACCGCTTTGGGGTTCTTGGGGAGGATGGGGTGGACTCTTCCTCCACCCCCCCTTCTCCCCCTCACCCCTCCTCTATTACTCCTTCTTCTTCTTCTTCTTCTTCTTCTTCTTCTTCTTCTTCTTCTTCTTCTTCCACCTCTCAACCCATCTCTCTGATGGAGATTGAGGTACTCCCTCCCCCCTCTCCCCAGCCCCCTCTGTCTGCTCCACCTCCCTCTACCCCTCCACTCCCCCCCACTACCAACGGAGGATGACATCTCTGACCTCCCTCCCCGGCCTGACCCCGGGAAGGGCGGAGTCTGTCACTCCTCCAAATCCCCCACTAGACCGCTGTCCAATCCAGGACGGCAACCTAGAAAACACTCTGCCTCCCCCGCAAGGAGGAGTCAGAGTGCTTCTTCGAAGCCGGGGCCTTTGAGCTCCAAACAAAAACCTAAAAAATCATAATGGCGGTCCTGCAATGGAATGCCGGCGGAATCCGACCTTCCATTGCTGAATTGCAACATTTACAGGCCACACTGTGCCCACGGGTGGCCTGTATTCAAGAAACAAAATTCGCCCCGGCTTCAACCATAGACTTAAGAGGATTTACTGCGTACCATCACATTCACACGAACCAGATTGCTTCCGGTGGTACCACCATCTACACCGACAACCACACACTCCACAGACAAGTACATCTTAAGACGACCCTCCAGGCTATTGCCGTACGGGTCACCCTGCACAGACCAATCACGATCTGCTCAGTTTACATCCCACCAACATACCCCCTCAAAATAACCCAACTAAATGACTTAAAATCTCAGCTCCCAAAACCTTTTATTTTGCTAGGTGATTTCAATGCCCACAGCCCCCTTTGGGGAGACAAACCTATAGACCAGAAAGGAAAAATAATAGAAAACTTTTTATTTCAAAATAACAGCTGTCTCTTAAATGATAAATCCCCAACTTACAGAAACAGAGCCACTTATGGCACTTCATCCCTTGACCTCACCTTTCGTACCCCTGACCTAGTCCCAGATCTTGAGTGGTCTGTGCTGGATGACCGTACGGACCATTTCCCAATTCTCCTAAAAAACAATAGCCTCCAAAACGACCCGATCCCAGAACGCTTCAACTTAAAAAAAGCCGACTGGGACGGGTTTGCCAATCAATGTTCCAAGATTATTAATCCCAATTTCGACCACAACTACAATAAATTCCACGAAAAGCTCTTAGAAATATGCCACAATCACATTCCAAAAACAAAAACAAAACCCCGGAGGAACAAAATCTGGTTCTCTTGGGAATGTGAGGACGCAATAAAGAAAAAGAAGGCAGCGTATCGAAGAGCCGTCAACAACACCACCATAGAAAACAAGATAATTTATTTAAAGGCTCGAGCTGAGGCACGTAGATGCCTCAGGGAGAGCAAAAGACAATCATTCCAAAAATACATCCCCAAAATCAACAGCCAGACACCACTCAACCAAGTTTTCCAAATTGCTAAAAAATTCTTAGGTAGACGCACAGACACCATTCGGCACGTCCAGAGGCCGGATGGAACAACAGCTGAAACACAAGTAGACATTGCAAACACAATAGCTACATCTCTAGCCAAAAACTCATCCCAAGCAAACTACAACACCACTTTTCAAAACGTCAAAACTAACAGAGAAAAACAACACCTAAACTTCCACTCAAACAACACTGAAACCTACAACGCAGACTTCACAATAGACGAATTAACATCGTGCATCTCGGACCTGGGCGATACAGCCCCGGGACCGGATGACATCCACAACAAGATCATTAGACACTTACCCTCAGAAACACTCACACTCCTACTACACATATACAACGACATGTGGCGGTCGCACTCCTTTCCGGAGTCTTGGCGTCTCGCCACTGTCATTCCAATACCCAAACCTAACAAAGACCACACACACCCATCCAATTACAGACCTATAGCCCTAACGAGCTGTCTCTGCAAACTGATTGAAAAAATGATTCACAGGCGACTCATGTGGTTTCTGGAAACGACGGGCTCGCTGAGCGGTCAGGAAAACTCGATCCACTCTGGATCACCTGGTCCGCCTGGAGACCTTTATACGCGAGACGTTCGCTGAAAGAGGCCACATGATCGCCATCTTTTTTGACCTAGAAAAAGCCTTCGACACAACCTGGAAGTACGGCATTCTTCGAGACCTGCACGCACTCGGCAAACGCGGTCACCTCCCTGCCTTCATTGGCAACTTCTTGAAGAACCGTTCCTTCCAGGTTCGTGTCGGATCCTCCCTTTCAGACCCCCACCAACAGGAGGAAGGAGTCCCCCAGGGGAGCATCCTTTCTCCTCTCCTATTTGAAATTAAAATAAACTCCATAGTGAAAACCCTCCAGAACAGCATAGACAGCTCGTTATACGTTGACGACTTCTTGATATGCAGCCGATCGAAAAATCCTCATTTGAGATCTATGGAAAGGCAGCTGCAAACGCAGCTGCAAAAACTTGAAACGTGGGCAAACAACAACGGTTTCAAGTTCTCCCCGTCAAAGACGGTTGCAGTACACTTCTGCCGAACAGGCAGATGTGTGCTGCAGCCGGATTTGACACTATACGGGGAAAGGATTCCCGTCCAGGACCAAGCTCGTTTCCTCGGCGTCATTTTCGACAAAAAACTTACATTCATACCACACATCAAAGACCTTCGTGTGAGGTGCGAGAAAGCGTTAAACGCTTTGAAAATTCTATCAAATCCGGAGTGGGGCGGGGACTCAAAACACCTCCACTTGTACATCTCCCTTGTCCGGTCCAGGCTTGACTACGGCTGTCAAGTCTATGGATCGGCAAAACCACACGTCTTAAAAATACTAGATCCAATACAAAACCAAGGACTCCGCCTCGCTCTGGGGGCTTTCCGCACTTCTCCGGTGGAGAGCCTCCAGGCCGAGGCCAACATACCACCACTCTCACTCAGACGCACACAATTCTCACTACAATACGCAGTTAAACAGAGCTCAACACCGGAAAATCCAGCGCACAACAGCATTTTTCAAACAAATCCAGAAACCATAAACAGATTCCAAAACAACGAAAAACTCATCAAACCTTTCGGCCTCAGAATCCTTGAGGACCTCAAAAACTTACACTTTTCCAAACAAGACATCCAACAAATTCTTTTCCCCGACCTCCCTCCGTGGCACCTCACCAAGGCAAAAGTAGATTTACAGCTGACCACACACAACAAAGAAAGCACAAACACCAAAACTTTTCAAGCAGAATACAAAAAACTAATAGATAAATACCCCGGTGCGGAGCTCATCTTCACGGATGGCTCCAAAAAAGACAATGAAGTGGGCGCCGCAGCCCTATCTCCCAACAATACACACCAGAGGAGACTACATCCTGAAGCCTCCATTTTCACTGCGGAGGCCACTGCCATTGACATGGCACTGGACTCTGTAGAAAATTCTCCTAACAAATCTTTCCTGATCCTTTCTGACTCTCTGTCTTGCATCACCTCACTCACAAACTACACACTCTTACACCCAAAAATAGTTAGGCTACAACAGAAAATCCATACACTATCTGAAACAGGAAAAAACATCATGTTCGCATGGATACCCAGCCATGTGGGCATCCGAGGAAACGAGCAGGTAGACGACCTGGCGAAGAAAGCTTCATCCCTTCTGCTGGGATCAACGACAAACACTCTCCCACAGACTGACTTTAGAAATTAAATCAAAAAGTACACCTCCAGTCTGTGGGAGAGCCACTGGGAAAACCAGAAAAATAATAAATTATATGAAATAAAACCCAAACTAGAACAGCGAACTCCTTCGGATCTCTCCAGAAGAGACGAAGTCATTTTTACTCGATTGCGCATCGGACACATGGCCCTGACCCACAAATACCTCCTACAGGGAGATGAGAAGCCGCACAGATTTTACCATTAGACACATTTTAACAGAATGTCTAGACTTTGGAGAGATCTGAAGTAAATATTATAAATGCAAGAAATTGCAGGATATTTTTTCCGTCGTTGGTCCCAGCAGAATTTTAAATTTTATAAAGGCCATTGGCCTTTATGGCGAGTTGTAGGGTGAATTTGATATTATTAAAAAATTTTGTTGTTACTTAAAAGTTGTTTTAGATCACAAATGTATTTACACCGAATTTGAATATTTTAACTTTTAGCATTTTAAAGTAAATTAGTTAGCCAGTCGTGAAGTGAACTTTCGCAGAGGTGAACAACTTGTGTTTCGCGCGCTCATATGACCTTAGCAGTTGCGAGCGCCGTAAAACCTTATACTATACTACTATACTTTGAGAGATAGATGGAGAAAATTTGGAGTAAGTAGTAACATGATACCAAAAACAACACCACCAGACATAAACAACGCACATTCGCGAATAATGTTAAACTGTGACATAAAAGAAAGGGGGAATACATGTTGCGTGAGTGTTTTCAGGAAACGAGGAAGTGACAAGAGGCTTTTCCTACTTTATACAACGCTCGTGCATTCCACATATATTTATATATATATATATATATATATATATATATATATATATATATATATATATATATATATATATATATGTATATGTAAGCCAATCTTCTAATCTTCTTTTCAAGTGAAAATCTGTATCTGATGCTTTCAGATTGGGGGAATGAAGGTAAACATAAAGAGAAGGTACCTCAATAATATTTACAAGACTTTAGCAGTAACTTCCCTTATAATTGGTATCAAAACAACCTCTGTCACTGTCCCGGAAATCCTACGGGCCATAGGCACAGCGCTGCACGGTTCACGCCTGTAAATTTTACGGGCATGGCAGCGAAGAGGTTAATGTGTAATATACTTTAATCCAAAAAAATAAAAGTGGGTGGTTGGTGGGTGTTTTGGTGTAGTTTGCTCCCTTTTTACTATCAAACATCTGTTGTCCGTATCTTTTCGACTTTTAATTTGTGTTTGTTACTCTCTGGTAAATTATATGACCTAATTGTGCTGCAGGTGCTGTAAAACTTTTCCTTCTTTTCCTAAAACAAAAATAAAACATTCTTATTTCCCTAGCCTCATATGTTACCTCCGATTCCTCGTGGTGAGAGAGGGGCGCGAATGGGGCCAAGGGCGTCAAATGGTCGGCGAAATGTAAGTTGATTCCATCAGTTTGTCTCTTTGTCGTTCTCTGAGCTGATGGTTGAAGAGTGGTCTGGTCCTTCCACGATGTTTTCTTATGATTCTGTGTTCAGTTTCCCTTTAAAAATGTTACCATTATAATACCAAATCACGGTTACTCACAACTCAACAAAAACTATTACTAATGTTTCTTTGTGGGTGGTTGGCGGGTGTTCTGGTGTGGTTTGCTCCTTCTTACCTATCAAAACCTCTCTATCGTCCCCATCTCAACTCTTTTTTTGTGTTTGTTAATCTCTCTTAACACATCTATTCTTCGGCACTTATATGACCTTATTGTGTTGCAAGTGCCGTAAACTCTTACTAAAACTATTTTATTAAGTTTGTGTTTCTGCAAAAATTGAGGGTCTGTAATTACTTGGGTTATTTATTTTTCTCACAGGCAAGAGGAGCGATGTCCTTCATGAATGTTTACCCATCTGCTTTGCCCTGGCCCTTTTCATCGAGCATGGCAGAGGGAGACGATGATCACATGCGTGAGTTGTTGGCTTTTGGGATTTAAACCTCACCCTGTTTATCCTGTTTTCTACTGCATCTTTTTTTACTAGTTTATACTGGATGCACTGATCGCTCTGTCGTTGTCATGCTGAACTACTGTGTGGATAACCATTGCTTGAATCTCGCAATGGGGAATTTTGGAGATTGGGTAGTATGTGGAGTTTTTCAAAGCTTTCTGTTGTCCTAAACTGTGAGTGGCTGGGAGGGGGGCTCTGGTGTACTTTTCTCCTTCCTTACTATCCAACACATATTGCCCTTTTCTTTCCTCCTCTACGTTCTATATTACTTTCTAGTAACATCTTTATTCTTTAGCACCCTTTAGACCCATTTATGATGCAGGTACTGTAAAACTCTTACTCGATTTAAAGTGCCCTAAACTATTGCTAATGAAGTGTGACTTTTTAAAAAATGTGGGCTACAAGTTAACAGACTAAAACTATTTCCAACAGATTCTACAACTGTCATGTTTTTCTTTTGCAGTGCTACTAGAAAAAAGAAAGTAAAATACCTAACTGTTGACTTTGTCAAATTGTTGTGATTTTTTTCTTCTCCTTAGCACTCGTCATGGAATTGTTCCATACCAATGGCTTGTTGGATACGGATGAAATTGAGGTCAGTCCCACTAGTTTTTACAGATTGTGTTAATAACAGTGCTTTCACTCTTACGTATTTTTATGGAAATCCTTGCTTTCTGCCAGTTCCGTACTTGTTCTTCCATCATTATCAACTCCCTCCGTTAAAAAAAAACTACGACAGCGTAGGACTGCCGAAATTCTGTTGCAAAAGATCCGTACTCGCCTTCATATCATCTTGTATAAGTTATGGATATTTACGGCAATTCTCTCGGCAACAAGTTAATGTTATAGCAGAAACCTGCCAGATTGCACATTTCCTGCAATCAGCTATTATTCCGCTATGCCTCTTGCATTCCTTGCGGGTTGGTCGGCAGTATATTTTTTATTTCCTCCTTTCTATCATTCATTCACTCATTCCATCTTTGCGTTGATCAAATAAATTGACTTGTGATCTTAGACAGAAAATTACTGTCAGAAAGAAACTTCTTTTGCAAATCTGTCTCGATCTAGAGAAATTATCAATGCGAAGATTCTACGGTACGTGAACGCGATATAAGGGCTACGATGAAAGAAATATATGCTAAGACTACTAAAATCAGGAAAAATTCGAAAAGTGGTGTTCCGAGGTTGTGACAGGCGACATTCAGACGTGAAAACTATGGAAAAATTAGGGTATACGCTGGGCAACTGTATTGTGAAGGTACATATCTATTCATTATTCCCAGGTTTGCCTTCTATCAATGATGCGACAACAAATTAATTGATAGTAGCTATGAAAGGGGAACTTGCTTTTAAACATTGCCAGCAATGGAAAGATATGTAGGTGAAGAAATCAAACAAGACAAAATGTTGGTGAAAAAATAAATGTTATGGGTTGTAGGCAATATCTTCAAACAGGCTCCCAAATGCCATTTTCAACCCTCTAAAAGCACTAAATTTCAATTTCTTTGGGGGGGGAGGTTCGTCCCCTGAGCACCCACTGGGGCGCTGCCCCTGGACCCTGCTGGGGGCCTCTGCGGCCCCCGGACCTGGTGCAGAATTTTCCTTACTTTTCAGCTTCAGCTGGTGGAAGCACTGTAATAAACACTGCACTCATGTGCACTTTGCAGTAGTGTTATGCCACTTTAAAAAAAACAACACATTTTCACTGAGGTACATAACATGAATGTAAATTTTATTTTTATATATTTTTTCGTTTGTTTGAATGTAAAGAAAATTAAAGTTTAATTGAATGTATTTCCAAAATCACCTTCCTTTTTCCTCCCCTTTGGGGGAACTTGTTGAAACTTTCCTGGCATTTACGAGGAACATTGAAGGTTTTGACAATTTCTTTTTCGTTTTTTCTTGTTTCAGTCTATTCTGAATCCAGTCTCTGAAGACTATGAGGTGAGATAAAAAAAAAAAAATTTTTTATTGGGGCACAAAATTTGAACAGTTGGTATTATGTTGGAGTGCATTTCTGATTAATTAAAAAAATTATTTTTTTTTAACTTAACATGTTTTGTGAAATCAAGCATCCATTCTCTTCTATGTTGTTAGGAACACAAACCCAAACCATTCTGTTTGCTATATTTAGGTTTTCTGTTTAGTATTGCAGTTAAAATTCCTCTACTGAAAAACTTGATGTACTAATTGACTGGTCTTCTATTAGTGCATTGTCCTTTTATCATGTGATTAAAAGATTGATCATGTCCATCTTTTTATCTCTTCAGTGTCACTGTTGCTTCAACTCAGTTTTGATTTGTGAGATGTACATTTTCTAATTCATTTTTCTTTTGAAAGTTCAGAGGAGTTTAGTGCCTTTGAAAGTGTCTTTGCTATTAATTTTTATCTTTGATTATTGAAAGTCGATAAAAGAAATGCTTGAAATATAAAGAATTTTTTTCTTTCATTTGTCAAACAAGATATTGGAATCAAATGGGTTTTTAAAAAACCGCTTCGTTGCCTTATGACATACCTGTTATGTCATGAAAATGCGTAATTTTTAGCGCGGTGTCATACCATGTACGTCACGGAAGTTGGCAAAATTTACCGCTCCTGGTTGCCTGAAGATTCGTATTTCGGAAATAAAATATGCTCATATCGGTACCAAATTTGCTAATGTTACTTTACTGCTAGGCTTGTAAGCAATCGATAAATGCAGATCTAGGCTTGCGGGCAGCCGCGTGCTCTTATAAAACGTAAACATTAAAATGACTTTAAAAAGTAAAATAAATTCACTTTTTGACTTAGATTTGCAGGTTATTCGAAATTATGAGTAAAATGGGAGAAAATGGGAATAAGAAAATTGTCAATTGAAGACCCAGTGCCCGAAATAATTGAAGACCCAGTGCCCGAAATAATAATGTCATGAGCACGCTAGATCTAAATATAGACTGCGGGTCCATTAGCACTAAGACAATAGGCTGCTGTTCTGGGAAAATGAGCTCAGCTGAAAATCAGTGCTCACAGTAGGAACCCTGGCAACGAAAGGGTTGAATTAATTTCCCAAAGGCAAGAAGAAATAGAAGTAGAAAACAAAGCATTAAAAAACCCAACTTCATCCTGTCCCCTCAGCAACTACTGGCTCTAGCAGAGCAAATTGGGGAAGTGAACCGCGGCCTGTCAAAGTCAGAGCTGGACAAGCTTCCCACCAGCAAGCACCGATGTGACAGCTCGGAGGGGGCAGAGGCCGGGGCAGGCAGCGCAGACAGCCAGCAGTGTAACATCTGCCTCAACGACTACGAGAACGGGGACAGGAAGAGAAACCTTCCGTGCAAACACGACTTTCACAAGGACTGTGTGGATCAGTGGCTCAAGGTGAGGGCCAGGTGTGTGTGTGTGTGCATGAGTGAAAATGTGTGTGTGTGTGTGTGTGTGTGTGAGAGAGAGAGAGAGAGAGAGGATAACAGAAAAGGGTCGAGGGTCAGTTTTAAACACAGTCAAATCTGCTCTCAAGACAATCACTTGTACGAATGACCACTCCCCCTTGCGTTTTTTAAATGACACTACTGTCTATGACAACCATATGTCTGAGATGAACACTTTTCTTCTCAATAATAGATGGTCACCTTTGACTTTGCGGTTGAACCTGTCCATAACAGTCACTCAAGATCACAAAGAAAACTGTTATAGAGAGGAGGCCACTATGCGAATGTTTCATTTTTTTTGTGTGCCCCATTTCATTTTTTTCCAAATTGTCATCTATCATCAGAAGCAGTTTCTTTGCATTGACTGAATGTATAAACTCAGCCTCACCGACTACGAGAACGGGAACAGGAAGGGGGGTTGGCTGAAAACTTCTGTAATTTGTTGTAAATGACCATAATGATCAGGTTGGGAAGCTGTCTTGTGGCAAAAATGACAAGCCGCGTCTTCGTTGGGTAGGGGTTACTAAGGGCAGGTTAAGAATATAGGAAAGGCAAAAGTGTGTTAAGGAACAGTGGCCATCAGTACAGGTGACTTCTATGGAAAGCTGACCTTGAAAGCAGGTTCGACTGTGGTTTATTTATAGAGGTGTCTAGTATCTGATCGCTGATACTTAAAAAGGTAAAACAAAATTTTACAAAAATTCTAATATGGGTATGTGAGTGGTTGATAAATGACTGTGATTTCCTCCTTCTACTTTTTTGTGCCATCTTATTCACATACATGATTTTATGTTCTACATGTACCCCCGTTAAATAATGTTGAAATGTGAAATTTCTGTAATGAGCTTTTTAATTTTTAGAAAATGGAAAAGCTGAGCATAAATTATATTATGATTATTACTATGTAAATTTAGTCTTTGATATTTATTTTGGTTCCTGTGGAATTTCCTGTGAACAATGCAACAAGCTTACTGGCATCTCATGAAATGAGATAAAGACCCAAAGGCACTCTTCAGCAACTACAATCATCCTTATCTCTGCTCCTCCTTTTTTGTGTTTACTAACAACACTTCTAATCTTCCACCCTTATGTAACCTAATTGTGTTGCAAGTGCTGTAAAACTCCTTCAAACAAAAACCTCTTTAGCGAAGCATTTTTCTCTCAGCTGATACGAGAGTTCAGAGTTCTTTCTTCTGTTTCCTCCGCAGACCAACGCCACGTGCCCTGTGTGTCGTGCCGATGTCAAAGCAAAGTTTGTCTGAAGTCCTGATGTGTCATGCCCGGTGCAAGTCAAGTCCCTTAGGTTCCTTTTCTAGTTTATATTTCACTTTTAATTAATTGTCGTTGATAATGATGAGGATGATGGTAATGATGATACTAACATGTGTTGTGGATGAGACTGAGAGGGGGCTGTCTGTTGGTGCTGTTGTTGTCAGTGGTGTCAGTGATGATTGGACGATGATTTATGGTGACCTGTAGCCACCTAAAGGTGTTGTTGTTGTGTGACTGATAGTGACACTGTCTGTGTATTGAAAGTCCTTTGTTGAGAAAGAGTGTCAGAAAATGTCATTGATAGTGGTGGGGATGACAATGCGTTGTTTATCCGGAATCTTCTCTCACTCTCAGCTGGGAGGTTCAAATATCTGCATGTGAAGTAGAGGTGGGTGCTAGTCGAGTCGGTACTGGCTAATATCGAGTACGCTATCGACTAAGAAAGCCCAAAATCGATTAGTACCAGGTACTTATTAAGATTAAACAAGGGGATGTAACAAAAGTTTCTAACTGTAATACAGTAGTCTCTGCCACGGTGCACGGGAGGGCTATTCAGCGTGTGTTCATACGGAGCATGCGTTTACATGTACCTTTGCAAAGGGAAGAAGGGACGCAGTTATCTCATGCCTTGATATTCTAGTGACATCCCTTGGAGGTAAAGACACAAAGGCACTCCTTTGCCGGATAATGTGACCACACGTGACTGTTTCGAGAAGGATGCCCGACTGTGGTGAAGAACACAAAAGGCGTTGAATGGGCTTTGGGCGTCAATGTAATTATGTGCACCGTAGAATGTCGGGAACAGATAGCATAAGAGGAAACCGTTGGTGATAGTCATAGGAGATGACGGCCCAGCCACGTGGCTTTTCAAGCGACCTACCCCGACCATAAATTCATGAACGACATCAGATTCATAGATCTCTACATTCAGAGAAACATTTGTCTTGTGATTCGTTGAACAAGTACGTTATAAGTTCTTCGAGCGCAGCTTATTAGGCTTACTTGACTAATTCTATAGAGGCCTATCTAGTGTTTTACAGCATTCACATGTATAGTGCATCGTAGGTCTAGGTTTAACTAAACATTACTTGCAGTCTCCCAAACACCAGTCAGAAATTTTCTCTCTAAGATGCATTTCCAGTGACCAATCAAAAAACATTTCAGTCCCCCAACCCTCCCACATTTCACCGATATCCTAGACCTATGTACTGTCTTGGGAAAATTGGGTATGAAAACGCTGTCTATCACTCTCTTTGTTCGGCGTAAGGGGCAGTCTCACCAAATATCCGGTTTTCAAGGCATGTCTTATGCAAGCGTGTTCCGCAGATCAGAGCGTGCGTTTAGAGAAAGTGACTGCGTTTGTATGTCTAAATGAAAGAGTAAAAACACTGTCATTTGACGAAAGTGTGCGTTTGAGCGCAGCGTGTATTTGTAGGGTGTGCGTTTAGGCGGAGACTACTGTAATGTCGATCACTTTTCACTATGGCCTTCGAGGCCACGAAATGCAGTATTGGGCCAGCATGTTTTTTTTTAATTTAGTTTTTTTGGGGTTTGTTTTTATTTTTTATTTTATTTTTTTAAAAAATTTTTTTTGGGGGGGGGGGGGGGGGCAGGGCTTCATTTTTCCTCCCTTCTTTTTATTTCTATTTTAGCAGTACCCGCGAATGTTGCCTTCTGAATTTTGGGGATCAACTGCATTCATGGACTCTTTGAATTCTTCCAAGTTCCACCATGGAAATCGGTTGCATGTCTTTGTATATTTATCATGGACTATAGTTTTTCAGTCAGCAGTATTATCAATGCTTTTTAGTAAAAAAAAAAATTTCCCAACAATCCAAAACTTGAATATTGATTAGTATCGACTAAACGGTGAAAATATCTAAGTACTTACTAAGGGGTCACTCTTAACTCACTCGCTGCCGGCGCCTTTTCTCAGACTAAGCCGCTGCCTGCCTGCTATTTCTTACTTTTTTGAAAATCCAGTTACTCTGTACATATTTATGTTAGATTTATGAAAATTGGCCAGTTTCAGTAAGAGATGTTGAGCTTTACAGAACAGGAAGAATTTTGACTCTCTCTTATTTTGTTCATGTTTTATGCTTTTCAAAAAACAACAAAGTTTGGCCAAACTTGCCAGTAAAATATTTTTACTGTTATGTGAGAGTGTTGCTGTTTCTGTCCTAAAATACACACAAAGTATATAACAAAACAAAGAAAACTAAATTGATAAGTTTATGATGACTTTGCCTAGATGCATGAATCATTTCATTAGTCATCGTATTAGACTCTAGTACTACGGTAGTACTAGACTCTAGTACTAGCCCACTGCTGACAGGTGATCTGCCTCTTTCTCTCATCTCAAACTACCATTATTTAACACTGCATCATCTGAATCAGATTTCATTGAATCATAAATGGATTCAGAATCTCTAAAATTACGAGCCATTTTGGCATGAGCATCGCAGTAGGGTTTGGTCCACTTCGGCACTTTGGCCGCCCGATGTTCAAAACAAAACCCATCTAAGTAGGACACAGGGAACTCCCGTTCCAAAAATAGGCAGAACTTCAAGGGAAATCATTCTAAAATAAAGTGAAACTGCTGTTAGTGGTCAAAGGGATGTTACTCTAGTAATTGGGCTATGCCGTTGCCGCATATGTCGGCAATTAGTAGAAATAAAGAGGAAAATATGCGACCGACAGGGGTGCAGTAGCGGCGGTGAGCGGTCGCCGCCTATTGACCGACTCAGGTGTGGCAATGGCGGTGAGTGAGTTAACAAGTACTGAGTACTGGTGTCCATTAATGCCCACCACTATTGTGAAGTACTCTGTCTCAAAAGATCCAGGTGTGTGCGTGTGTTGGTGAGGGATCTTCTATATTTTTGTAGAAGAATTGTTCAATGCCTTTAAGCATTTTGTAACTGATATTCCAAAGTAATCCTGCTGATATGAACCACCACGCGTGAAAGTGTGAAGAACGTGAGCTTTTGTTTGTTGAAAATTGCTCAAAATAATGTGTAAGTGAGATAAAAATCTATACATGTATTTTAATGTACACCAAATGATTTTTTAGTAAGCTCTTGGTGAAATATTAGCCTGAGTACAGTGGTAGCCCACTGTTTCCTGGAGCTGTCTGTCAGAAATATCAGTCTGTGTGTGTGTTTGTGTGTATGTATGCGCGATTGTATACATGGAAAACTTCACTTACATATGGGTTACGATACCAGAATCTTATGTAGGCGTACATACAGTAGAGTCCACGTATCTCGAACACGAAAATCACAACCTCTCGGGTATCTCGAATGTAATGCTCGGCCCCATTTCAGTCCCTATGTTTTCTTTGTATTGACTTCACGGAGTTCCCGAACACTCGGAATGCACAACACTCAGATCTTGAACAAATCCACTTCGCATTTTCAAATAAAGACCTGGCTATACAGCCACAAGAGGCTAGAGGAATGGGGAGGGAGGGGGTTGGGGAGTGATGCTGCCCGCACCGCTCGCCATGCGTGCAATCATGCTGTGAGACACTCGCGGCGTAACGAGGTGTAACTTTCTGTAAGCCAATGAAATGAGAGGAAAGGGATGACATGAGTCGGCTGTGCACACGTGAGATTTTCTGCTTTCCACTTTCATTCATCTTCTTGCTTTCACACCGTCAACACTTTCATCAAGGGAGCTAACCGCGTATTTTATTTTAATGTACTTTTTACCCCCTTGATTTTTCTCTATTTCTTTGTATTTGAGGCATTCACAGACATGACGAATTACGGAAATTTCAAACACTATTTCCTGTCCCCGACGAATTGGTACAAAATTGTCCCTTGTTCTTTGTAAGTTACTCTTTTTGTGCTTTCATATTTTTCGTTCTGTAAGATTTGTTTTTTCCTTTTTATTTTGTGGTGAGCTTTACCGTTATATCATATCAAATATGTTTCACTGTGTTCATTGCGAATATCATTTACTACTCCATATCACAGAGATCAGATGAGTACCAATATAAAATGCATTTGTCAGCTGTTAGTTTACAAAGTTGCGCGCAAAAGGGAAGTTTTGTTTTATTTCTGATATTATTTTGTTCTTGCTGTCGGTCATTTTCAAATGTGTTCAATACTTACTTCCAAAATGCTCACAACATAATGATTTGGTATATGGGGGAAGAATTATGACTTGTTTGAGTGAATTTTGAGTGTGATTTTTTTTACTTTTAAACTGAAAGAAATGTATGTCTTCTTCTATTTCATCTTTAAATGTACATCCTAGTCTTCGGTGTGAAGGCTGCTGCTTGCCACTAGTCCTCCAGGTTCTTTACAGATTTGGGGCTCCCTGCCTTGCCTGGTTATGGCCCATATCTTCTAAGAGCTTCGTGCTTTGAAAAGGATTGGAATATTATACGATTTGCTGTCTGGCCGCCGGTTCTGGGTGGGTACTGCTCTGAGATGCGGATCCTGAACTTTGTGTACAGATGGTGTTCCAGGTGGTTGTGGTCTGTTCTGAATCTGAAGCAAACTACCTGGCCTTGACAGGTGAAAAGGTGGCAAGCGTCTTAAAAAAAAATAACATAAAAAAACATGAGACGTCTGTGGTGAAGTGAAGTGGTAGTAGTAGTAGGGATCGGTCTGCTTAAGTTGTAGCGTGGGTGTTGTTCCTTCTGCTTTGCTTGTAGCCCGATTTTGATGACACTTTTGACCTTCAAATAGATTTATCCTTTTTTCAGGCTGCCCTGATCGAGACCCTTCTTATGTGAAGGAATTGATTTCAATCTTTAAATCAGAGGCACCATGGCATAGATAATTATTTAAAGTGTTTACAATGACATTAAACCGTCCGGTAGCATCTGGCGGGCCGCATTTGGTGAGTTCATGCGTTTAACAATTTGTTTATTGCCTGTATAGTTTTTGTTTTGAACTGGTCAGCTGAATGTGTAATGCTATGGGCATTTCAGTTAACATAATGTTATGTTATAACTGATGTCTTATAAATTGTCCATTTGATATATATATATATAATCTTGAACATGTAATTTTCCTGCTAGTGTAAAGAGTAATGTAGGGTTTGTAAATCATCTTATTATATTTGCTCAGATTGTGAATTTTCTCTTGATATTCACTTGTGGTGGGAGAGCGAGTGCTACCGGTAAGTTCTCTGACTGCTATACCCTGTCACTTCTTTTTTTTTCCTGTTTTTCCTCCAGCTCTAAATGATCATTATCTTAATGAGATGTTTTTTTAAAACTCAAACTAGCATTTCTTGCGTACGTCTCGATTTCATGTACACATAACTTGTTTCACAATGCCCCCCCCCCCCCCCCCGGGGCAGTGCTACTGACTGAAGTGTCTTTAGGCCATTCCAAAAGGAGGGGATGTTAACATGTTCTTATGCACAGTAGAATTGTAAATGAGCTGATTTATCAATGTCATGCTCATACTGTGCCTGAACAACATAGGGGGAACTGCTGCTTTTTCTTTCCTCATCCTTACTATCGTTATTTCTCCTCTACTTCTTTTGCATGTTTGTCACTCTCTTGTGAACTGCTATTTCCGGGGTGCCTTGATAGTCGAAGCATACTTTGTGCTGTTGAGGCTAGAGAGGTGAGCAGCTCAGTAAGCCTGATTCCCCTTTTGGACTTCTCTGTTGACATCCACCCCTTACTAGAACTAAACAAAACAATGTCTCTGTAGTTGTACTAAGGTGATTGAAGGCTTCCACTTGTTGGTCCTCCTGTTCAATCCCTGTTTTATTTCTGTCTTTCTTCAGTCTTTC